AATTAAAAAATGAGACCGTGGCACTGAACTCTCAGTTCTGGGAAGAGACTGACCTGCTGAGCCGTGTACCCCGAGACTGAGAACACTGAATCTCTACAAAGCAGTTATCAACAGCCGCGCAAGCCGCAGTCGCCATCCCAGAGGTAAGCTCCACCTCTACAAGAAGCTTCTGGAAACTGAGCCACAGAGGGAGTGTGGGCAGCATCATGGATCTGGGAGGAAAGATCATACCTCTCCTCAAATCAAAGATGGCTATGATACAGCTCCTCAGATCTCACCCTGCCTCCTGGCAAAGGCTCCCCACACTTTCCACCCTGTGATCTCCTAATCCCAGCAGGAAAAGTGGGGTTCAGGGAAGAGTGGACATGAGGCTTAGGAGGGAGAAGTTACCTCTAGGGGCATAGCTGATGAACCCACAGGAGCTGTGGGAGGTAGCTACAGCAGGGCTGTGGGCCCTGAGCCCTGGGGGTGGGGAGGGGGGTGGGAGGGGTTGGCACAGAAGTGAGAGGTGACAGCTGCACTCAGCACCCCCTGATTGGGATCAGGAAGACAGCCCAGTTTCTGTTTTAAAACACAAACACCCTGTTTTGAATCATTCTTTAATCAGTTAGCTCTGGTCTCTGTTCCCTAAGTAAACAGGGATCCCTCCTCTGGCAGAGGCTGTGACAGACATGAATCCTGCTTCTGTGTAGTGCTCAACAGAGTGAGTGGACAGTGACTTATGGGTCCTTGGCATGGATGCCCCAATGGTTCTGGCCTCTAGAGCAAGTATCACATGTCTGGGGGCTTCCACCCTTCCAGAAAGGGTGTTTCAGGTTCCTGGGGCATAGGATGGTTTGGTTTCCATTTCATCCATACCAGGTTCTGGGTCTAGCCTGGGCAAATGTAAGTGCAGAGGCTGGGATAGGCATTGCAGCCAGGGTGGGGCAAGAGTTGTTCTGGAGATTTAAGATGCAGAAACTCCTTTAGTCAGCTAGGATTGCTGAGAGAGACTCAATCACCATGTGGAAAAGTTGGCTGAGGGTGAGCTGCAGATGCTGCTCCTGGATCCAGCCAGACCTGAATCTCAGCAATCCCTGGGTGGCTCAGGTACTGTGATTTGACCAGTTACCCATGTAGCACACCTATGTGTGCTTCAAACCTAGAGTTCTGCTTGCTTTCAGCTGGTAGGAATGGGTACCCTGAATATAGCAGAGAAAGTACAGAGAAACAACAGCGGGCCAGAAGTGGAGGCCTTGGGTTCTTGTTATGAATATCCCAACTGCATTGTCTCCTGGGTCCTGGTTACTCTGTCTGCACAACAGGCTCTGCTCATGTTGGCTGTTCGCCTTTCTCTGACTTCCTAGCATAGAGGTATAGCTTGGACCTCTCTCTGGAGTGCAGACTCACAAATCCTGTTGTCCCATAAATAGAAATAATTGTATGCTGAGTGGTACTTTGAGCTAGAAACTGCCAGTGGTCTTCCAGAATCTCTTCCTCTTCAGAGCAACAGGACCCCTGCATCTTAGCTGGGCAAGTGATTGCCTCAGAGAAAGACTACCTTACCCTGACTCCCTTGCAGCTAGCTGTGGTCATGTGACAAAGTTTCAGCCAATGGGATATGAAACAAGTGATATGTGTAACTTCTGAATCCCGGCCTTAAAAAGGGGGACATAAGACAAGAAAAGAGGCTGGAGAGATGGCTCAGCAGTTAAGAACACTCGCTGCTCTTGCAGAGGACCTGAGTTCAATTCCCGGCACCCACATGGTAGTTCACAACTCTATCTAACTCCACGATATCCAGCACCCTCTTCTGGCCTCCACTGGTACCAGGTATGTAAGTGATGCACACGCACGTGCACACACACACATCTGTTCATGTAAAGTTTAACATGGACAAGGACAACAAAAACAGAAAACAAAGAAAAGAGCCTGGAGGAGCCTCCATTCCAGGGTTAGTCCAGCTCAAGCTGCTTATGCTTGGAGTCTGAGGGGTGTGTGTATGTGTGAGTGTGTGCATGTGTGTGTGAGTGAGTATGTATATGTCCGCGTGTGTCAATGTATGTGTGCTTGTACATGTGTGTGAATGTGTGTGTGTCTGTACATGTTCACGAGAAATCAGTAGTTTCTTTGCTATTTCAAGGGCTTTTGTTTGTTTATTTTTCAAGGCAGAGTTTCTCTGTGTAGCCTTGGCTGTCCTGGAACTTGCTCTGTAAACCAGGCTGGTCTCAAATTCACAGAGATCCACCTGCCTCTGCCTCCTGAATGCTAGGATTAAAGGTGTGTGCTACCACCACCGGCTATGTCAAGTCTCTTAAGTTCAAGTCTTCCAGAATTAGCAAATACCCCCCCCCCTTTTTCTTTTTACCTTACAGGGAGCCGGGGGAGGGAATGGAAGATTTCAGAAGAGGAATGAGGACATTCAGAGATTGCACAAGAAGGCAGATGAGCCTGAGTCCTACTTGCACTCTCTCGGATGATATTACTCCCCCAGACCTTCAGTTTCTTCTTCACATGATAGAGACTGGTTGCCTATGGTGGCTTTGGGTCCTTCCGGCTCTGACCTCCCACAGCCTAGCAGTTCTAGGGCACAGAAGCTCAGATACTGGGGGGGCTGGAGAGCTCCATGACTGAGTGAGGGGGCAGGCGGGGCCATGGGCCCTGAGAACACTTGTCCCTAAGCGCATCTGCTGCCGAGTTCTTGCTGATTGCTGCCACAGGGGAGTGCTGGCTTGCCAGATTGCCTCATTTTTCAAGAAGAGCTAGATTTCTGGGTTGTTTTGGTCTGTGCAATCGCCCGATTTTTAAATGTTGGCGATAAATTCACATTTTTTTTTAATACTCTAGAGACCAAACAAAAATATCTGCAGGCTGAATTTGGCCAGTGGCCACCAGTTAGGAATTTCTCTTTTGACACTGTCTTTCTCCCTTTTCTCCATTCTCCCTCTTCCCATTCCTTCTTCCTGCAAATATTTACTTGATGCCTGCTAAGTGGGAGAGCCTGTTCTGTGACTGTGTCCTGAAGCAAACAAGACAGGAATGGACAATCTGGTCCTCCAGAGGCTTGGCAACCTAGGATATCACCCCAATTCGTTCATCCAACAAATGCTCTTTAAGCAAGCCCGTTCCATGAACCATGTTGGGTTGGGAAGGTGAGAAATGCTTGTCGTCTCTTGTCCTCAGAGTCCTTAGTGTCCCCAAGGGAGGCATCCATAAAGTGTGGAATTACGGTCAAAATGCACGAGTGCTTTTCTAGGGAGAGGCGCACCTTCGATGGAAGTTGTTAGGGAAAGGCCCTTGAAGAAGATGACATTAGCTACAAGACCTGGAGCTGGGGATGGTGGCCCTCGCCTGCCTTCATAGTGTTGTGAGAGGTATGGGAAGGCAGAGGTCAGTGATCAGTGAGGAGTGCCAGCCGGGAGTGGTGGCTTGGCTGAAGAAGGGCTGGGGAGAGGTGCCTGGCCCTGAGAAATGATGTGGACCAAGGGGATGGGACCCAGAATGGAGTGCTTGGAGGGCCCTTTCCACAAGTGCCCTCTCAGTTTAGCTTAAGAAGCCAAAGGACACACATAGGAAGGTCGGCTTCTTCCAGATCCACAGTCTCACCCAACACAATCCAGTGTGTGCCTGGGGTAGTGACTGCACTCAGTGGATGGATATCCTCAAAACAGCCTTAATGGGCGACATACAACACCCCCGGGGGGAGCATGTGCCTGCCAGTCATGGATCTAGGGGATGGTATGTGTTTGCTGTGGCTGTTGACTCTACTCATGTCTGCAGCCGCTCTTATCGCTGGCAACCACCTAAGTTCCACGGAGCCTGAAAGGGCATGCCGCCGTCCCTGCCACACATATTAATGACGTGTCTATGGGTAAGAGATTTCTGCGCCCCTGACACCATTTTTATATCCGGCACAGCATTGTGGCAGACAATAAATCTACCCTGTTAATCACACCTCCGGCTCGTTACAACTTCCATAAAAACTGCGAGCAGCTGGGAAAACCATGAGGTGATGTCAAGTCCAGCACACTGAGCAGAAATAAAAGGGTTTCCCAGGCTTGGTGAGCCTCGTTCCCCACCAGTGCCACAGGCAGCTACCCCAGGCCTCTCACCTCAGAACAGACAGGCCACTATGCTTTCCTCTCAAGTGCTACCCTCGACCCCTCCAGATGCCCCTGAAGAGACAGCAAATGTCCTGCTCCTCTGCTTGTGGTCTGTTAAGTCCACAACCTGCTGTGGAGATGGCTCACTCAGTAAAGTGCTCCCACACTAGCATGAGAAAGGTCCCCGACTACTGTGTCAAGAGCCGGGCATGGTGGCATGCACCTGTAACCCCAGAGCTGGGGAAGCAGAGACAGGATCCTGGGGCTTTCTGGCCAGCCAATTATGTCAAAGAAGTGAGTTCCAGGTTCAGCAGGAGAGAGAAACAGAGGCAGATACCCACTGTCTCACGTTCTAGAGAACCAGGGAGCAGGAAAGCACTTTGACCCAGTTTCCAGCTTATTATATGTCTGGCTGTGGTATACCTCTGCCCTCTAGAGTAGACCCCAAGGATTTGGGTAATTATAGACACTGATGACTTCATGCTCTAGGAGCAAAGGCATGAGATGGCAGATAGGAAGCGTATGAAATTCTCACATACCAGAGGAATATTTCATAGCATCCAATCCTGGGCTGACTCAAAGGGTCAGCTTTGGGTTGGCATATGGTCGTGAGGAGCCTCCATGGTTCCCAGGAGACGCAGCCTGGGCACACAGTTGCATTTGAAAATAAAGAGCCAGCAGGTTGGCCAAGTGGATAAAGGCACCTGCTGTCAAATCTGCGGACCCGAGTTCTATCCCTGGGACTCACACTGTGGAAGGTGAGACCTGACTTCCCCAAGCCGTTCTCAGAGCGTCACACACTTACGGTGCCATACATGTTCACACTCAGACCCAGATGCTCAGGCGCAGAGTAAGCAAATACATAAATGTGACTTTTTTTTAAAAAAAAAAAGAGAGAAAGACAAAGCATATTCTTACCTTCCCGTATCTGGATGCAAACGTCCCCGTGAGCAGGGAGTGAAAAATAATGATTGTCTCGTCCAGGTCCCAGACGAACACGCGCTGTGATGGAAGAGAGGAAGGAAAGATGGAGTTGCCTATGTCTACTTAATATCTACAGGTCCCAGTCCTCTTGGAGAAGTCTACAGACAGGGTACCCACACCATACCTTGAGCCACCACTGAACCCCAATTGTGAGTATATCATCGTGGCTAGTTTTTGGACTCCCACCAGCCACACCTGGGCTCGAACCATGGGTCTTCACTTAAAAACTCAAAAGCTTCACTCAAGCCAAGGCATGAAGAACCCGGAGACGCCCTTCACAGTGTGAGATCCTACCAAGTTAACACACTGCTCACTGCAAGCCCAGTACTTCTGTTTGTAGCAAATTTGACTCTGCAATTCTAAATAACACAGGGGACGCTTTCCTCACAGACTTGCCAACGTTTGACAGTTTCTTTGGACTCCGATGGAATCTTCCATTTTTACACATGGAGCTGTTGCATTTCTTCCCCAGTCTGAGGCAGAGGAGCCAGTGGGCGAGAGAGGCCTGTGGCACCCCCACTTCCTTTGCTGTGCTCTTATTCTCCTTTGGTTTTTCTTCTTCATTGTCAGTGTGAGCAAACTACTCTGAGTGTTTAGTTTTACAACCACAACTGTCTTCTACACACGGACTTTAATAAAGACGATTATTATATGTGTATGATGTATGTGTAGGCCATTGAGTGTGTGTGTGTCTATATGACTATGTGCATTTCTGTGTCTGTGTTTGTGTGTGTTTGTC